TTGTATATATTTAAAAATAGCACCAGCCAAATGATGATTCAAATGAGTCATGACATGATGGTTAGGAATATCTTAAGCTGCCCATGTATTAGAAACTTTCTGCCTACCTTTGGTCCAAGGGTTAGTCATCAGAAGCTGGGAGGATAGTCACCACATTCATCCTAGTCCCTTTGTCCATGCACCCAATGAGTATGCCCTATTCTACTTTTACTGCCTAGAGTCGGAGGGCAGTTGTGCTAAACTATGTTAGGAATAACAAAATAATAAATGAGGGCTAGCGCTGTGGGGCAGCGGGTTAATGCCCTGGCCTGAAGTGCCGGCATCCCATATGGGTGCCGGTTTGTATGCCAGATGCTCCACTCCCATCCAGATCTCTGCTTTGGCCTGTGATAGTAGAAGATGACCCCAAGCCCTTGGACCCCTGCATTCACATGGGAGACCCACAGGAAGCTCCTGGCTCTTGGAGCTCGCTCGCTCTCTCTCTCTCTCTGTGTAACTATGACTTTCAAATAAATAAATAAATCTTTAAAAAAAAAAAGAATGAATGAGGCAGCTTGTCAGTCACTGAACAAGTCCTGGAAACTATTCTGCAAGAAAGGAGTCTGGGCCAGGCTATATGTTAGCTGTTGTGATATGAAGATTAATAGTGTGGCCTGCTGGTGCCGCGGCTCACTAGGCTAATCCTCCGACTTGTGGCACCAGCACACTGGGTTCTAGTCCCGGTCGGGGCACCAGATTCTGTCCCGGTTGCCCCTCTTCCAGGCCAGCTCTCTGCTGTGGCCAGGGAGTGCAGTGGAGGATGGCCCAGGTGCTTGGGCCCTGCACCCCATGGAGGACCAGGAGAAGCACCTGGTTCCTGCCATCGGATCAGCGTGGTGGGCCGGCCGCAGTGCGCCAGCCGCACCGGCCATTGAAGGGTGAACCAACGGCAAAAGGAGGACCTTTCTCTCTGTCTCTCTCTCTCACTGTCCACTCTGCCTGTCAAAAAAATGAAATAAAATAATAAATAAATAAATAAAAGAAAAATAAAAAATAAGAAAAAAGAGTGTGGCCTTTGTATTCATGGTCCAGCATCCAAGGTGCAGAGATAGCTGCAGAAAACAATAATTGTAACACAGAGAATTAAGTGCTAAGGTGGATTACTGTGTGGAATACAGAGAGGAGCTCTAAATTGAGAAGAGGGATGGCAGATGTCTTAATGCAAGAAGAAAGAAGCAAAGTGTTCAGGCACTTTGCTCTTGCTTAAGTAGGAAGTGGTAGATGAGAACGATCAAGAATGATGTTGGAGAGATGGGCACAGATGACATCTCAGAACCTGGAAAGGGAAATTGCACAGAGAATGGGGCTGTGAAGGGAATACAATACAGGGAGGGCTGGAGAGAGAATGAATGAATGAATACAATCAAAGGACTAATGTGATATGAATTACAATTATTGCTGGTACCTGGAGGGAAAGATGAGTTTGGGGCAGACATAACATATGGGGAGTCCTCACATCATTTGAGTTGAAGGGACCCACTGAAGAATTATGTTGCCTAAGAAAGACAAGCATCAAGAGAGGTGCACAAGGAAATCAAGGGAAATCATGGGAAAGGGATATTGTGGGTTCCAGTGCACCCCTGCCATCCCCCAAGAATTAAGGCAGGGGATGTCAAGAGGGAACGTGGTGTTGGGCTTGCCTGTGTCCTTCCCTTTTCCTCTCACAGCCCAAACCAAGTATTTCTGTACCACAGTCCAAGGTGCTAAGGAATCCAGCTGCTGCTTTCTTGAAGGAATCTAATAAGAGCCCTGGATAAGGGTTAAGAGGGAAGGACAAGGACAGGTCTTTCTGGAAAGCAGGAAATGTTCCTAAGCAAGTGTGGGTCACAGAATTCAACAAGGCTTGGTCTGGGGGTGGTGGAGAATGGAGGATTTGGAGTTCTTGGGTCAGGTAATAAGAGAATAGATCTAGAAGGGTCTAGGACTTTGCTGTTAAAAATCTACAGTTCTGTTCGCGTGGCTCCCGGCCCTCGAGAGTTCTGTAAGCGGGAATGGAAGCCCCGTGGCTGGCTAGGCCATGCTTCGGAGCTCTAGAGAACCCATCTATCCTGTCAGGGGCCTACTGGCGAGCGTGGGTCTAGTCGTGGCCTGCCCTACGTGGTGTGGCATGCGCCAGGCCGGCAGCGAGCCGGGGACTGAGGACCGAATGGCCGTGCATTGGCCCTGTACTGGGGAAGTGTCTCGGGAAAGACGGGCCCGAGACATTGTGGGTGAGGCGGTTCGGGCTCATCTGACAAGGACTTAATTCTCCTGATGGAGTTTCGGCTTGGATATCCTGACCCCTCTCAGATAGGTTGTCAGTCAGTCGGGTGTGGCCTGGACTATAGCCAGAGCGGAGTTAAAGCATTGCTTTGCACATCCGTGAGGCCTAGGTGTGTGTCTAGGCCTCAGTCGTGGTGGGAGCCCGTAATTCGCCAAGATGACGAACACAAAGGGAAAGAGGCGAGGTACCCGGTACATGTTCTCCAGGCCTTCCAGAAAACATGGAGTTGTTCCTTTGGCCACATACATGCGCATTTACAAGAAAGGTGACATTGTGGACATCAAGGGAATGGGTACTGTTCAAAAAGGAATGCCCCATAAATGTCACCATGGAAAAACTGGAAGAGTCTACAATGTTACCCAGCATGCTGTTGACATTGTTGTAAACAAACAAGTGAAGGGCAAGATTCTTGCCAAGAGAATAAATGTGCGTATTGAACACATTAAGCACTCTAAGAGCCAAGATAGCTTCTTGAAACATGTGAAGGAAAATGATCAGAAGAAGGAAGTCAAAGAGAAGGGTACCTGGGTTCAACTAAAGCGACAGCCTGCTCCACCCAGAGAAGCCCACTTTGTCAGAACCAATGGAGTTGCTGGAACCCATTCCTTATGAATTCATGGCATGATAAATGTAAGATAAATAAATAAGACCTAATTGATTAAAAAAATCTACAGTTCTATCAGGATCTTGGGGCATCCATCTGTGCAACTTGGACTGGAAATCATAACACTAGACCATGTGGTCCAGGGCAGTGAAATGGCCAACAAAGACTAGCACCTCTCATAATCTTCTCAGCCATGCCCACAAACAAAACACAATCAAAGAGAAAACTCACTACGCAGTGGCAGCTATCACTGAGTAGTCTAATCATTCTTCCTTCCAAGATATTATCTTCAGCAAGTCTTTCTCCACGAACATTACAGAGTTTACCCTACCTTATACTTAACAATAGGCAATGCCCTTTCCCCTCCCTAGTTTCCTCAACACTTACCAGGCTATGCAGGCTCGGCAGCATGAACCCACACAAGCCAAATGTCTAGAATCTCTTTCTTTCATAGAGAGTGGTGATAAAGACAGAAGGTCTGGCCCCCAGAAGAGTGGAAGACAGAGCCAGGCATGTGGCACAGGGCCTGGATCACTTCTCCTGGAGATGATGTGAGTGTCCTGCGATGGGACCTTGATGACTATAAATTAGTGAGTTCCAAGTTGTGTCCTGGAGGCTGTATCCCCTCTGAAGCTGATTAGACAAATTGATCAGTGATGTGTTCATTCTCTGATCATTTTTGGCTCCTCAAGGACAGGGACAACACAAACAGGAGTCTCTAACCTGCCAATTCATTATCCCTGGGAGACTAACACTGAAGACATCTGTAATTTCTCTCTCCTACATTCTTCACCTCTGGGAAAGATTAATTTTCCTTGGATCATTTCTTGGTGACAAATACGGCAGCGTTTTTGACATGTAGATTCCTAATAAGATGATGGTTGAGTAGAAAGAATCCCAGGATTCACTGGAGCAGTGATGTCAAACTCTAGCCTAAACCAGGACTGCCTCAATATTTGATTTTTTTAAAGATTTATTTATTAAATTGAAAGAGTTAATATATATCATATTGTAATATATTATTATATATTATTAATATATATTATATAATTATATATAATTATATATTATATAATTGTTATAATTTGAAATAACATATTTAAATTTACATTACAGTAAAAAGGCTTAATACTTCATCAAATAAGAAGTTTAACAAGTAAAAAGCAAAAAGACACTAGTTTAGTGGGAATATAGACAATGATTATAAATAATTAAATGGAAAAGTGATCATTTCACACATATACACCAAATGTTAACGACAAATAAAAAAGTAGACGTTTTATTTCTTGAACTATTTGTTAACACTTTACTATGTTTATATATATATTTGTGTGTATGTGTCTGTGAGTGTGTACACACAGATATATAACATAATACAGCATTTTAACCATTTTCAAAAATGTTCCTTGGGTGCTGGAGCTGCAGTACAGTGGGTTAAAGCCCTGGTCTGAAGCTTCAGCATCCCATATGGGCGCTAGTTCTAGTCCTGGCTGTTCCTCTTCCAATCCATCTCTCTGCTATGGCCTGGGAAAGCGGTGGAGGATGTCCCAGGTCCTTGGGGCCCTGCACCCATGTGGGAGACCTGGAGGAAGCTCCTGGCTCTTGACTTCGAATCGGCTCAGCTCTGGCTGCTGTAGCCATCTTGGGAGTGAACCAGCAGATAGCGGACCTCTCTCTCTGTCTCTTCCTCACTCTAACTCTGTCTTTCATATTAAAAAAATGAATGTTTTTAAAAAGTTCTTTGAGTTATTTTGATCTACTTTAATGGAAGTATGATAGAAAGAGAGAAATCTTCCATCCACTGATTGACTCCCCAAAATGCCTACAACAGCCAGGGCTGGTCCAGGCTGAACCCAGGAGCCCAGAGTTCCATCCTGGTTTCCTGTGTGTATGGCAAGGGCCCAAGCACTTGGACTATCATCTGCTGCCTCCCAGGTTGTAAGAGCAGGGAGCTGGATGAGAAATGGAATAGCTGGGGCTTGAATAGGCACTCCATGATGCAGGCACCCAAGAAAATGTAGAACAGCTTTGCACAATGCCAGCCCCTATTGTAACCATTTCTCAGTGTATAGTTTGCTGGCACAAGATACACTCCAATGTTGTATACTGTTGCTGTGGATTCATTCTGAGAGGAGAAGCACGGTGGGGACAAGAGGTGTGGAGCCATGACACAGACACCGGGAGTTGGGTGAAAGTAGGCAAGAGGCGAGCAGATTGCAGACTCACTGATTTCAGTTGGTGCAGCAGCTTATAGAGCCAAGGCAGCCAATCCACTCAAGGGACAGTTAATGCCCTAGCCAATCACAGCCTGTTGCCAAACTCCTTTGCCAGTTGGGTTCCAAAGCCATCTAATCACAGTCTGTTGCCAGGGAGACTCCATTGCCATGTGGTTTCCAAAGCCATTCCCGAGTAACTGACACTCACTTGGCAGTGCCCACCTTGGCACGACCTTCTCATTCCACCACATTTCCCCTTTTTCATTTATTTTTGAGCACCGGGAGGCATGATCCTTGGCCATACCATTGTTGACCCCATTTCTATGTGGTCTCCATATGCAGCTGTGCCTGTCTTAGGTTCTCCTCTAGGGATCTTACCCATCATTGACTAACCAGCCCTCGAAATGGGAGACCACAGGAGTGCTCACTCAGATGGGGGTAGGAATGAGGGACAATGTAATCAGGAATGGCATGACTACACGCAGGCTGTTGGCTGTTCAAATGGCTAACCAGAGCTAGTGGGGTAAAAGACAGTAGCAGATGTGACTGTGAGCAGTTCCTCAGGGCAGGATGATAGGGCAGCAGCTTGACAATTGGGAGCACGTGTGTCTGCTACCAAGGTGGACTCTCAGTCTTGTTCAGCTGGTTCTGGTTGACTGTCAGTTGCAGGCTTGATGTTTCTGGCTGGTAGCCAAATGGGCTGTCCCACATTCTCTGGAAAGACACAAGCATATCCTTGGCCCTTGGTTAGCAGAAGCCTTTTTATGGGTGTTGGAATCCAGGGCCTGAATTGTGAATCCACTTCAAGATTAATGGCAAACATGTGGGTGGGATGGGGTCTAGTGTCTGCCCTGAGAGCCTGGGGTCCTGGGGACTGCCACAAAGAGGGGATCCTCACTGTGTGTGGATTGGATGACCTCACATGTCTTATCACCTCAAGGTTGTCTAAGTTCATCTCACAGATATTTGGGGGGTGGCTGACTAGGCATTGCTGTGTTGTCTGCTGTCATTTTCACTGTCAGAGCTCTCTCTCCCTAAGTCATCAACTGTTGCTTGTGAGGCAGCAGCCTGGAGTGGCAGGCTCTGATCACTCACATATTCATTATGTTTGGTAATCTGTGTGGGTTTCTGAGAGGGGGGTAACTTTCCCATGTTTGAGGGCTCAAGAGCAGCGCACCACGTCAATTCTAGCCAAAGGAAAGACACCCACAGCACTGCTACCATAATAAAACAAATTCCTAGCACCTCAGTGGCTGATGGCATTACGCAGGGGATTCCCTACATTAGATGAACAGACAGTGGTGTATCAGATCGTAAGTATGACCTGTGCTTAGCGGGGACTTCCTTGATTCGTTAGGTCAAGGCCATATGCCCACACGGTGTCACCAGAGTGTCACCTCTCTTGAGTGAGGGAAGATGACTTGGTTCCAAATTCTGGGATGATCAGTCCCTTATGTGAATTCACCAGGTGAACTGAAAGTAAAAGGAGCCAAAAAGCAGTGTTACACTTCTGGGCAGTGTGTGCCTAACCTGGGGTCACTTCGACCAAGGACAAGGACAAGGAAAGGGGCATACGAGGGGGTTCTGTGCTCACCCTCACAGAACCAAACAGCACACAAAACACTGAGGGGAGGGACATTGCCAAGTCTGACACACTGTCTCTCAGTCAGTCACGTTCGACACCAGATGTTGTGGATTCATTCTGAGAGGAGGAGTGTGGTGGGAGCAAGAGGCATGGAGTCACCACACAGTCCCCAGGAGTCGGGTAAAAGCAGGCCAGAGGTGAGCAGCCCGCAGATTCATTTATTTCAGTTGGTACAACAGCTTAAATAGCAGAGGCGGCCAGTCCAATCAAGGAATGGTTTATGCTCAAACAATTCACAGCCTGTTGCCAGGCAACCTCCATTGCCAGGTGCTGTCTGAAGCCATTCCTGTGTAACTGACACTCACTTGCCAGTGGCCATCTTGGCATGGCCTTCTCATTCCACCACAGTACACTGTCCTCTATCCAGTTCTTTTAGCTTTTCATCATCCCAAGCAGAAATCTGTACACCTTACAAAAACAACTGCCCATTTTCTAACTCCAGCCCCAGGGCAGATGTTGTGTCCAGATAAGTAGATCCCTAAGAAGCTATCAGCAACCCAATCACACCAAACTGCAAAGCAGGATTTATTCAAGAGTACAAGCCATGACAGGGACCCCATCCAACCAACCGGCACAGCGGAGGAAGGAGTGAGGCCTCAGTCTTTGGGAGAGTTTTTAAAGCAAAAAAGGGCTACATCAGCAGGAAAAAAGAGTTACATCAGTGGGGGCTTACAGCACGGGAGCTTTGGGTGCAGGCAGTTACTTTGGCCTTGGTCTACTGAGCTAGCTGTCCCTGGTAAGCTTTGATATCTCCGGAATGCCTGAATGCCTGCTTCTACAAGGACTTGGGTCTGCTATGGGAAACAGAGGCTGCTTTTTTATTGTTTTAAAATGGAGTCACTTTGGCTCTTCACAGCCTCTATTCTTCAGTAGTGTCTATGAATTCTCTATCTGGGTTCCTCACTGAAGTGGAATCAATGTCTGACATTTTGTGTCCTCTTTATTTTAGTTCCATAATGTTTTCAAGGTTCAACTATGGTATGTATCAAAATTCCACTCTTTCTAATTTCTTGTTTCATGGTGATAAAATTCACATCAAATCTATCAAGTTAGTAATTTTTCAAGCTTTACTGAGGTATAATTAACAAATAAAAATCATAGATTTTGATGTTGTAATATACCTATAAGTTGTGAAATTATTACTACA